AACAGTATCTATTAATGATCAAACATCAATGAAACGAACAAATTCTGTATCATTACATCCTGCAAGTAATCTTCAACGTGATCAAGATGATACTAGTGATGATTCATCAACAATATCAACAAAAACACCATCCAAAATCTCACCAAGACGAGTAAAACGAACAAGTGATCAATGGTCAGATGATAATGATCAATCAAAAAGTGAATTAAAACCCGAATCTCATGGTTTATTGAATTTATTTAAAGCAAATCCATTACAATCTGAACGAAAGAAAACAAATGAATCTTCAGTATTAAATGATCTTGCTGCGAATGATCCACTACGAACAGATTCAAAGAAATTAACATCAACAAGCAAACCTACTACATGTAAGTTGTATTAAAGAATGTGATAATCACTTTCATTATATGAGTCAGTCAGATACGTAGTCGATAGTAACTATTCATTAGTTGAATCAAACAATTTTTTAGTATATTTATCTTTCGAATGTGTTAATTGTCGTATTGTTTTTTTTTCTCTCGTTATAATCAGCTCAACAAGCACAACTACCATCTTTCTTTGGTATTGGACCTAGAATCGAACGTGTAGGTAGTGATAATACATCAACGAGTATATCAATCGATCAATCAGTTATACCAGCACAACGTACTCAAGAAAATAAACCATCAACAGCCAAACCATATACGACTACTGTACATCATATTGTATCATCTACAAAATCTTGGTCGGATGATACAACAACAGCACCACCACCACTACATACAACAAAAGCTCTACCAACCATAAGACAAAGATCATCAGATGATACATGGAATATATCACAATCGGATGATGATGATGATACTAGTGTTCCTAAAGTAAAATCTGCCTTATCTACTTTACAAAAAACATTACCATTTTCTCCATCCATCAATCGCTCAAGTCATATCAATAGTGATGATGATGATGATGATGATTCAATTGAAACCGAAATGCGAAAACTTGATTCAAAAAAGCCAGCAACGAACGCAACTACTCAAAATTTAGTTAATAAACAAATTGGAAATGGTTATAAAGTAATAGGTTTATCTGAAGTTCATTCACCTTTAAGTGAAGATTCTTCATGGACAGCATCACCTGCACCAATTAATAAAGAAACTGCAACAACAAAACGTGTTCAAAATTTAGTACACCACATAGTTGATTCATCATGGACAACATCACATGCACCAGTTAATAAAGAAACAGCAGCAACAACAAAAAAAGGTGTACAAAATTTAGTACACCATATAGATGAATCATCCTGGTCAACATCACATGCACCAGTTAATAAAGAAACAACAACAACAAAAGGTGTTCAAAATTTAGTACAGCACGTAGATGAATCATCCTGGACAACAACATCACATGCACCAGTTAATAAAGAAATAGCAGCAACAACAACAACAAAAGGTGTTCAAAATCTAGTACACCACATAGATGAATCATCATGGACAACATCACATGCACCAGCTAATAAAGAAACAACAACAACAAAAGGTATTCAAAATTTAGTACGACACATAGATGAATCAACATGGGATGATTCTCGACCATTGAGTCCTGATACAAAACAAGTGAAAAGTTCGAATACTGTATCAAATTTAATAATTTATCCACAAAAACTTCCTGAAACACGAACAACAGGAACTGAAAATCTAACAAAAATGATGAGTACAATTATGAATTCAAATACAAAACAGTAAGTTTTAAGAGCATCTAACTAATATTTACTTATTTTTCTTCTTCTATTAGAACAACACAACCAAAGCTTGTTGGTAAACTTATTGTTTCATCAATGGTTGAACGTACAGATTCAAATTTATCTGAAAATACTTCACATTTAACCGATAATGAGGATGATAATGAACGTATGAATTTTAGTTTATCTATTAAAGCTTTTCATCTTTTTACTTTCTAATTTTAGCAAGTTGGCAAAAGAAAAGTGAAGAATGGTCTGTTACAGCTCCTAATGGACAAGATTTTAAAACGTTACAAAACTTGCCACGTTCAACATTTCCTGGTGATATGCATAATTTACGTGAATCAGTATCATCAACAAAATCATCGATTAATGATGTAGAATATATTTTATTTTTAATATATATTAATTAGTATTTCTTTCTTCTATAGTTAAATGAATTGAAAGAAAATATCAAGAGACTTGAACGTAATCAAGAAGATACTCATGAATTAAAACGACAATTAAAAGAAATGGAACATAAAAAAAATGATTTTGAAAAATTATATAAAGAAAATAATCAAATGCTGAATGATGTTAAAATGAAATTAGAATTCGAAAAAAATGAAAAACAACGTTTACAATCAACAACAAAAGATTTAAATCTAGAATTAGATCAAGTCAGACATAAACTTCATTCATTAGAAGATGATAAAGATTTATTAAATCAACGTTATATGAAATTACAAGAAGAACGAGATAATCATGGTAAGCAGCATTAGAATAAGAAATTCTCTTTCTTGTAGACAAAAGTCTTGCAAACATAAATTGTCCGCAGGGTCAAAAAAAACATCGAAGACCAATTTTCCGGAAAAGACATTTCTAGTAGTATTTCAATCCTCGAAATTCAAATGTGCGTCTCATTTGCTTAGACTACTGGAGGGGGTCCAAATGCCCCCCTACTTGTATTGCAGAGTGTGGCGATCATAAACTGTTGGCTTTCTTGCGTATAAGATTATTAACACTTCACTTATTCGTTAAAGACTAGTTCAACAAAGCACTGATGCCGACAGCTCAAATATGTTTGTTCTGTATTTGCCTCAGAGTAGGATGCGAGTATTATTTGTACAAATTAGATGATATAACATTTCTATGCTTACAAGTCAAAATCGAGATAAAGCGTATCCTCAGTATATTTTTGCCATACGAAAGTCTATTGTTTCACTTCAGTTACCTAGTTATTAGAATATGTTTCATGGCTATATCATTTGAATTGCTTCTTATATGTATTTAGATAAAAAATTACAGATGCTTCAAAAGAATAGTGTACATTCATCATCATCGAATTCATATCAAGACAGTGATGCTGATACAATAAGATCTCTAACAGCTGAAAATAAGGAATTACATCATCGTACAAAACAATTACAATCTGATGTTGAATTACATAAAGAATCACTTGATATAACAAAACGTTATAAAATTGATTTAGAAAAAGCATTAGAAGAAAAAAACATATTTTCAACAGGAATTAGATCGTTTAAAACATGAAAAAGATTTTGTTGAACACGAAAAATATGAATATAAAACAAAATATGATAGTTTACAAGAAGAAATACGTGTTATACTATTTGATCGATCAAAACTTGAAAAAAATCTAACTGGTGAATTACAAGAACATATACAAGAAAAACAACGATCAAGCGATGATATTAAAAAATATCGAACAGAAATTGAACAATTAAATATTAAATTAGGTGATGCTGAAGCACGGTTACTTGTTTTACAAACACAAAATGAAGCATTATTAGCATCAAAAGATCGAACTATAAAACATGAATATGAATCACTTACAGAACGTTTAAATAAGACAGAATCAGATAAAAACAATGCAGAACAACGTTATCATGATCAACATAAACATATAACAAATAAACAACAACAACAACATTCTTTAGGTGCATCGTTAGCTGCTATTACATCAACACCTTTGAGTCATGGTGCACATCCTCAACAATCACCGTAAGAATTATTCGAAAATAATTTAATTCAATATTCAATTTTATTATTTTTAGTACTTCAACATGTTCAAAATGTAGTTCAATACAACGAAATTATGAACAAGAACGTGAACATCGTATGCAAACAGAAAAAGATAATGAATCTTTACGTGATACATTATCACGTCAAAAACAATATCAACAATTAAATCGAACATTTCCACAAGAACAAACTGATGAAAATTATCTTATAGTTAATTCACGACAAATTCGTTCCGATACTGAACGTGTGAAATCTGAACTTGATCGTTTACGTCATGATTTTGATAGATTAGTTGCAAATTATGAACCAACAAATAATATTCATCAACAAGCACAATTACATACACAAATTGATACATTTCGTCAATTTTATGAACAAGAATTTCGACAACGACAATTAACTATGTCAAAAATAACTGCCGGTATTAAACCAGCTAGAGTAATTACTTATCATCGATCAACATCATCATCTATGAATCATCATCATTTATCTAATGAAACATCAACATGTACAGCATGTATAAATAGTCGTTTACTTAAAGAACGACTTGAAACTGCTATTGATACAAGTTTAGCTGATCAACGTTATCAAACAATAAAACAAACTGTTCCATTACCACGACAAGCATCAGCATTATTAACCGTTAATACAACTCATAATGGTTTAACATCATCCGTTGAAATTTTAAGTCCACATCGCGATGTTTAAAAACAGTGAATTTTTTTACACTCATTTTTTTTTAAATCTCTTTAGGTGATAGCGTTTTATTGCTTTAATTTCCCTGAGGTGCTTTGTTTCTTTTTTAACATAAATATAAACATGAATATTCTTTCAGATAAATAAATCAATGGATGGCGCTGGCAATATTACATTGTGGGGTTATAGTCCTAGTCTTGATCTAACAAAATATATTGATAAACAATCGGAGGAATTACCTATTCGTCTCTTATTAATTGGCAATGGTGATCTACGTCATATATTTCATACATTAGCATCTACAACATCACCCATACATATCTATATACTTGAATCGCAATTAGAAATATATGCACGTCATTTACTTTTTCTTCAATTACTTTTTACATCAGTTAATCAAATAGGTTTACAAGAAAAATGTGAACATTATCTTGAATTATTTGCTAATTTACATATTAATACACATACAGAACAATATTTAAAAGAAGCAGCTACTCAACTTATTCAACATATAACAACAATTAGTGGAGAATTTCAATTAGCATCAAATGTAACTATTGATGCATCATTATTAAAATACAAAGAAAAAGATTTTCTAGAAGGTATATTTCAATTCTGGCGTGCACCACCTGCTAAACAACCATTTCCAGCTGAATTAGCTTGGGATGGTCGTGTTCGACAATATTTAGGTATGTTTAGTAAAAAACGAAATTTAATATCATATTATTTTTATTTTAAAGGAGCTCGTTATGATACTCGTCGTAATGCATTCGATTGGGATTTACATATGAAATTAGCGGAACGAGGTTTTAAACGTTTAAATGCACATGAATATGGTGATTGGCGTGAAAGTGGTCTTGCTTTTCATTTAACACGTCAAGATTATACACAACCAAATCGAACACTTGCTTCTGCTTTTGTTTTTCAAAATTCAGATGGTACGAAACAAGCTCGTCGAGGTTATTGGGGTGATATTTTAACTGGACCTTTTCTTGCTCATGGTCTAATACCTCTCGATAATAACGATGCACAAATGCAAGCAAAAGCAAATGATAAATTTATTAAAACAGCTACGGATGTATCTGAATATAATGTTCTTAAATTATTAGGTCAACTTCAAGAACAAAATAATCAAATTAAAATTGTATTATTACCATTAAATAGTATAGCTGATTTATGTACAGCTAGTAAAGAACGATATCGTCATCTTCAATTTGATTTAGTTTATGTAGGTTGTGGTTTAACACATTACTTGAATGAACAAGGAGAAAAATTTTCTTCATCAATTATGTCTCGAGGATGTACACTTATGTTAGAATTACCAACATTTCTTCTTGATCTTAAACGAGAACAACTTGAACAATTAGAAAAACGTTATGATGAACTGGCAAATAATATTGGTTGTGTACTTCAAGATAATGATGAACTTAAAGTCAATGCTGTTAAACTTTATAAATATAATCGTATGTAATTGTATAAAATAACATAAAAAGATTTATTGTTGATTTTAAATTGTTTCGTATGTTTATGGTTATTCCAGTTTAATAAACTGATTATTTAAAAAAAATTTACACATTCAGTTATATTCTTTGCTAACAAGTCTCAAGTCAACTTTTTCTACGGATATAAAAGCAGAGATAATTTCATTAATTGTACGGATTCATAGTATACAGTTATGTTTAGATAAATAATTCATCACATTTACGTTTGCTTATATTAATCATAAAAAGAATCTTGATAAAACAAGTCAATCATTTTTATATTTTCGATATATTAACTTACATAAACTATGCTTTGATAATTACTCAAATCATGTATTACAGTTAAAATTAATAGGATAACACAAAAAATTAAATGCACAAATGTTTTGATATGCAATTTACATTACTTATGTAGATCAACATATTTTTTAATGATAATATTCTCATATATAGAAGTTCTTTAAATACATTCAATTCGTTATATTTTAACAAATAAATTTTAAGATAAGAAATCCTTTGAAAATATATAATAGGAATTTAAAATATTATCTTGAAAATGGGTGTGAGGGAATGAATTAAGGTACATTGTAAAAAGGTCGAAAGAAAAATATCGGCGCCATAAACGTCAAAATATAAATGTCGAAAAATAAATGTCGAAGGAAAACTGCGTCGCAAGAATAAGATTTAAAATTTTTTGTTAGACAGGAAAAATTTAAGGATGTGGGTGTGAGTGAGGATGAGAATGTGGGTGAGAGCGTTGGTTTTGGTGAGAGTGTGGGTGAGGGTGACAGTGAGAGTGAGAGTGAGGGTATGGGTGGCAGAAGAATATAACATTCACACCCACATTCTTGTTATCTTAGTTTCTCGTCGTTCTAAAACATTCGTTTACACAATAATTTATTGGATCAAATGATTTACTAGTCAGTGAAAGTTTAGTGAATAATATTAGGACGAGAAAAACAATACTTTGATGATGACATCCAGAAATTTTCGACATTTTGCGTGATCGATATTTTTTCTTTCGGTCTTTTTACAGCCAATCTAAATTAAATACGTACATCCAGCTTTGCTGATGATATATTGAAATTAACTTTGTATTTCATCGATATGAGCAACGAAGGTTCTATTATTCGCAAGGATAGATATATCTATTTCAAGGATTAGATACACCAGAGAATGGAAACATAGATTACAATCATTATTGTCTGCTTTATTCTTTACCAAATGTTGGTCTCTTAGATATTGTGATTGCGTATACGACTACATAAAAAAATAGTAATTATTTTATATTTTAATAAATATTTAAAGTATTATTTGAATATTAAAGGATGTTTTGGTTCATGTGTTATTGATTGTGAGTAGTCACATCAATTAAAAAAAGATTATTGATGAATACATTTCAAATACCGATATATGAGTATTATTGATTTAAACACCCAGTATTTTTTTGATGTTGAAAAGTACATTTTATCAATTATAACAAAATGTAAAGGAACGGACATGAAAAATAAAAAATTTAGAGCACTTTTTGTGTTAAACCAGAAGCATATAAATATCATACACATCAACACCTACGAAATTTGCTAATCCTTTGTTTTATTAAATACCGAAAATAATTGATTCATTTTGGTCTTAAAGTATCAATAAATTAATTAAAAAGCCCAGAAAAATATCTTTTTATTTTAAATAATCGGATTATTTTCTCAAAATATTTGCTGAAGATCGTATGACAATAATAACAAGAAGCTTTGTCCTATAAAAGTAGATGTACCACAATAAAGAACAACTCATTACAATATGTTGAAATTAGTGTGTATCGTTTTTGCTTTAGTCTTTGTGACTGTCAACAGTCTTCCTCGTAAGTGTGCGATAGACTTTGTTGAAAAATTGATATAATATACTCTAACTGTTGTTTCTAGATGGTGGTCGTCAACCTGGACATGGAGGACAGCCTGAACCATTTCGTCCTATTGTACTAAATCCTTTTCGTCCAATAGATTTTCAACCATTTCGTCCTGTTGAACCAAAGCCCGAGCACCCACAAAAAGAGCCAAAGTAGGAACATCACAAAGTTTTTTGTCTTGGAAATACATGTATATATATATATATAATGTGCCTATTTTTTATTTGCATAGATGCGAAGAATATATCATAGTTCTAGGTCGCCTAGTAAAAGTTCCATGTATTCGTGAACCACATACAACTCATCCCACTTCTACTACTCGTCCAACTCGTCCAACTCGTCCCACTGCCACTACTGGTCCAACACGTCACTCTTCTACTAATCCAACACGTCCCACTTCTACTAGTCGTCCTAATCCAACAAACTGCACATCAGCGTAAGACATCATACATGTTTGATTTGAAATAACCTAATAAGCATGCACCCTCTGTATTTTAACAGAGCAACTCCAGTAACGAACTCAACAGCTCCAGTAACGAACTCAACAGCTCCAGTAACGAACTCAACAGCTCCAGTAACGAACTCAACAGCTCCAGTAACTGAATCCACAACTTCAGAAGGAGAAACCCAAGAACCAGCATCAACCCCAGAAGGAGAAACTCAAGAACCCGCATCAACTCCAGAGGGAGAAACTCAAGAACCAGCATCAACTCCAGA